ATCTATGCATTAAGAACTTTAAATTCAACGGTTGGATCGTTGAGATTTTATATAGAGCATGATTTAATAAGTCTAGGTAGACTTATTCCTAAAGGAAACAGATCCATCCCCATATATATATATATATATATATATATATATATTTAAAATAGAATTTATTTATATATGTAATTTATTATAATTTTTAATTATATATAATAAATATTTAACGCATAAAATATACTGATTAAAATACAAATAAAAAATACGTATTAACATAAGTGTTAGAGAAAATATTATTAATATATATATTTTTATTTTAAAAAAATTTATAATATTCTTTTGTTCCATATCTTTTATCCTTTTAAGCTTCTTTTATTGTTCAAAACAATTGTCTTTTAAATTTTTTTAAGTTTAATATTATATATATATATATATATATATATGTATATATCAATTATACTCTATTCAAAAACATTTTTTTACCAACTATTCACTTAATTTTACAAAAGCGCGACCATTATTATTATTATTATTTGAAAAAACAAAAACGTGATTATGTGATATCAAATAATATGCTTTTAGTGTAAATTTATATGCATTAAATATTTTTTTGTCTATTAACTTTAAAAGAACTAAAAATCTTTATACTTTTGTAGCAGACTTTTTTTGTTTTCTCAATTCAATTCCACTTGATTGTAATGAATTGCAGTTGAAAGATTAATTTACATTTATGATAATAAGTGGTTTCTTTTAGATGATAAATCATAAATGGTTCGTAGGGTGTTGTTAACCATACTCGTGTGCGTATTAATTAGGTTACACTAACTGTATACTATAAAGGATTCACATGATCTCTCTGAAAAAAAAATTGTTAACAAATGAATAAAGAATATTCAATATATATTCTTTTAAATATTTTAATTATACATTATTATGCATAAAAATCATATTAAATCTTTTAATACTTTCGATAAAATAAATCTTTCTAAATAAATAATTTTTATTTTCGTTGGGATACTAATTAATATTTAAAGGAAAAAAATACAAAATTATTCGGCTAGTATTACCCTGTAATAAGAAAAATGATGATTTTTAAAGTTAAATAGGAGAGTCATAATTGAAGGAAAGAAGTGATTGCCCATGTTTTACTTGTATGGAAAAACATGTATTTTTGTTAGATCTAACTTATCTAAAGGAAAATATTTTTGTTATATTTGGAAACAGTATTTTAATGGAAGAAACCCTCGACTCACATCAATAAGTTAGTGGAATAATACTTGCAACTTTTCTTATTGCTTTTGAATCACGAAATTTGTATAATATTTATAAAATAAACTTAAAGATCAAGTAATTAATTTTATGATAAATTTGGTTACATTTTTTCATTTAAAAATGTTAAATTAGTAGATATTTTTGAAAGGTAAAAAAATAATCCTATATTCATTTTCTTCTATTTTCTAAAATCTCATTCCTGTCAATGTTATTGACGAATGAAAGAATGTCAGAACATACAGAACTAATACATCTTATTTGTCACCATAGGTTTTGAAGCTGAGGCCTTATCCTATGATTACAGTGCCAGCGTTGACGTGAGATCTCTCTACAGTCAGCAACATTTATACTTAAAAATGCTAGCAATACTTGTTTTTTGTTCTTTGTTTGTTATTTGATCAATTTATTGTAAATTATAATTTTTTAATTAAATTTTAACCAATAATAAAGTATGTTAGGTGTTTATTAGAGAATATGTGTTAACACTCCTTTTTATATTTTCAAGGGTGTCACATATGTTACTGAAAATTTCATTCTAATTGTGGGTGTTACATGTTTTCAATCTCAGTGTTTGGCACATCCACAGAAGCCTCTGTACAATGGAGGAATCATCCAAAACCCTGAACTGAACAATGGACTTCAAGGGTGGACTGCATTTGGGGGTGCAATAATAGAACATAGAGAATCATTAGGCAACAAATATGTGGTAGCCCATAGCAGAAATCAAATAGAAGATAGTGTCTCCCAGAAGATTTACCTGAAAAAGGATATGCACTATGCTTTGTCAGGTAAATTTTGTACTCATATTATAAATTATGCATATAGTGTCATTTTTTATAGTATTATATTTGTAAAGGAAGGATCAATAACCTAAATGCATTATTCTTCACTCATGGTTATGGATTGAAATTATGCAGCTTGGATACAAGTGAGTGGGGAAAGTGTTCCCGTAACAGCAGTTGTCAAAACAACTACAACATCCAAATTTGCTGGTATAGTTTCTGCCGAGTCTAATTGTTGGTCTATGCTTAAGGGTGGTCTCACAGCGGATACATCAGGGCCAGCTGAGCTCTATTTTGAGGTACTTTGTGGGGTTCTTGATAATTGATTTATGCACAAGAATGGATTTTCTCTTGTTAAAATTTGATATGACCTCGCCATGAAAAAAATTAACAATCTGAGTACTATTTATCAAATGGGAAGCAAGGGATATTTTTACTTAATGAACTTTTTTGTTAGTAATTTCTCAATTTCACTGAACTGTTCAAAATCCTGAATTCTGTAGAGCAACAGTACTTCTGCTGATATTTTGATAGACAACGTTTCGTTACAACCATTCACAGATGAGGAATGGAGGTCTCATCAAACTCAAAGCATTGAGAAGGTAAATATTAGTTATTTTATAAACAGAAGAGAACTACTATTAACATATTTTCTAATATACTTTTTTTTTTTCCAAATAAGAGTTTTCCAATTAGGTGAAATTCACATACATTCCATTGAATATGTAGGTACCGTTTCTAAACTAGTGGGACTCAATTTTAAAAGAGAGGACGTGAGAAAGTGTCTAGGGCTCAATTTTTCTGTATAGTTTTCAACTACATGTGTTAGCCTTCAGTCAATTAGTCATTTAATGACATCAAAGGCGAGCATGTTCACATGAGTTTCAGTGAATCATTTAATGATATCAAAGGAGCCTCATGAACATACCATACATAGAGATGTCTTTAACCAGTAAGAGCCTACATAATCGATAGATATATGAGTTTCGTAAGCATGTTCATGAGTTTGATTCGACCATACTCGGAGAAAAGAGGGTTTGTTCAACTAGGAAAAATTTCACATAACTTTTTAGTATATGATACATAGAAAATAGTAAAGGAAAATGAGCATACATGAAGTTTAATTGTGCTTATTTGGCTTTGGCAGGCTCGTAAAAGGAAAGTTCTAATTCGAGCAGTTGATGAACAAGGAAAACCTTTACGAAATGCAACCATATCTTTAAAACAGAACAGGCTAGGCTTTCCATTTGGGAGTGCCATAAGCGGTGACATCCTGAACAACACACTATACCAGAACTGGATCACCTCTAGATTCACTGTCACCACATTCTCAAACGAAATGAAGTGGTACAGCACCGAAAACACGCGAGGCAGTGAGTACTACGCGGTTGCCGATGCCATGTTGCAGTTTGCAAAGCAACACAACATTGCTGTCAGAGGCCACAACATATTTTGGGATGATCCTAAGTACCAACCTAGTTGGGTTCCTTCACTTCCAACAAACGAGCTTAATGATGCAGTGGAAAGGAGGGTGACATCTGTTGTGTCGAGATATAGGGGCCAGCTTATTGCTTGGGATGTTGTGAATGAAAATCTGCACTTTTCGTTCTTTGAGGATAAACTTGGACAAACTTTTTCTGCCAAGATGTTTAATGAGGCTCACAGAATTGATGCACAAGTCCCTTTGTATTTGAATGAGTATAATACCATTGAGGATAGGAGGGATGGTACTTCAGCCCCATCAAAGTACATCCAGAAGCTCAGACAGATCCAAAGCTATCCTGGGAATGGAGGACTGCCATTTGGAATTGGGCTTGAAGCCCATTTCCCTGCTGTGGGTCTTAACCTTCCTTACATGAGAGCTTCCATTGATACTCTTGCTGCCACTGGTTACCCGGTTTGGATTACAGAAATAGATGTTGAAAATCAACCTAAGCAGGTAAAGTTCAACATCATCATTATACACCACATGAATTTTAATTAGTCTCTACATAACATATAATCAAGTATTACTAACTTTTTCTTGATAAACAAAAATTTAAATACATGACATATAGTGATTAACCGAGATTCTGGACACTTAGGAGGATGTGAATTGCTAATATGTTTAGCTATTTACCTTTAAACGTGCATGCCTGATTCGCTGTTGTTTATTTGTTGTGCATTATGTGCTTTTCTAAGTACTGTTGGACATTTTCAATTAATAATCATTTGATCTTTTGACAAAAAATAAAACTAATGTTACTTTTAAGTGAAGATTCTTATTTCTCATGCAACAATTTGATGTTGCTGGTGGCAGAATAAGGTCTGCAGCATGCATGGTTTGAAAAATTGTTTGTGTTGTGTTGTGTTGTGCTGTTCTCTGCATGAAATGTGGTTTCAGTATTTTAGGCCATCTATTAAAGCAATGAATATTGATTAAAGTTTTCGACTTATGATATATGCAGACACAGGTCTTCGAGATTGTTCTTAGAGAGGCGCACGCACACCCAAAGGTTAGGGGTATTGTGATGTGGACAGCACCGTCACCACAAGGTTGCTATAGGACTTGTTTGGTAGATAAAAATTTCAAGAACTTGCCTGCAGGTAATGTTGTGGACAAGCTTATTAATGAGTGGAGTTCAGGCAAATTATCAGGGACAACAGATCAAAACGGGCTTCTTGAGGCCTCTCTTTTGCATGGGGACTATGAAGTAAAAATCACTCACCCTCTCAAGAAGAATTACACTTTCACACAGAAGGTGGAAGTGACTCCAACAGATGACTTCAAGAACACAAAAAAATTTGTACAACTTTTTATGAAGTAGTTACTTCTGTATATTCAACTTTATGTTTATAATAGAAAAATTTCCAATCGATCTTTCTATTGTTGCGTTTTTGTTGTCTTACTCTTTGGCTTTAGCTTCAAGCTTAGCTCAATTATTGCCCCCAATGTTTGCACATTCTTATTAACATATAACAATCAACGATCATGGGTGAATAACATCAACACCGAGAGTACCATGTACTTGAAACAAATAAAAAATTTTACCAATCACAAAATTTAATGCTTTTAAAACCTGACAGTGCATAACTAGTAATAGAAATTTTTTACTGACTAGGTAGATCTAAATAAGCATAAGGCGAGGTTTTGCCTATTACCTACGCTCATAGATCTAGAACTATTAAAACCAACCCTAGGGCTGGGCCAGGCCCGTCTCCGCATCATAAAAGGAATTTTTGCATATTCTTAAAATACATGGATTTTGTTATCATGATTTACGATGACCACTCGATCAAATTAATAAGAACGCACGGTCTCTTTGATAAGACCCATAGTTTCGGCTTGGTCTCTGGTCAAACAAACACAGCCACAAAATCATCGCCTTGGCAATTCACATATTCTTTTTCCGATTTCTTTTCTTTCAATTTTGTAATCTGATACGTTAATTTTCAGAACAAACATATTGATCTATATGTTGCTTATGATGTGGGGAAGAACAACAGAGGATAAGATACAAAATAATGACAGCTGGCAATAGTCAATGGTCACTGATACACGAGCTCAACTACACACCCCTTCACTTTTTTGTTTTGACTAATCCGCTGCCCATTTAATTGCAACACGTGGCAGGTGTTGTTGTATTTTTTTTTTTTATAATATTTTTCTTCTCTCTGCTTTTTTTGTGAAATTTCATTTATTGCTCTTCTCTTTAGCCTTGAATTCGTTCACCAATTTCCTGAGAGTGAGAGGAAAGAGGGATCTTTGGCTTCGGGAGAGGAGGAAAGGGGCATGATCTTTTCTGTCCTCTCTTTCTCTCTCTGATGACCAGACAGACAGACACGCGCATAATACACATAGATGCAGCAGAGAAACTCTCACTCACTCATTCTCTCTCCCCCGAATTATTACTCCAATCCCATTCAGAGTACACATGGATCTTCGATTATAGAGGTTTTACGAGCTGGAATCTGCACTCACACCATGTGTGTTTCTACTGCCACCACTATTCTCAATATTATATTTTGATTTAGACACCCAATTCAGAAGAAATCGGAGAAAGTGTCGAAACTTTTCGAGCCTGTCTCGCCCTCCATCATTCCATTCAGTAGTAGGTATCACAATTGCAATGATTCTCGCGAAGAGTATTGGATCCCACCTCAGTCAAAGTTTAATAAAAAGTGCTAAAATCCACGAGTATTAGCAACCCAAGAAAGTAAGTATAAAATTACATGCATGGTTTTGTTCAAGGATCAAATAATTTTTTTTAAAAAAAAGTAGCTATTTTTGTTTGCTTGCAGAGTTGTTTACTGTTGTTTAATAATGGTGGTGCAGTTTAGGAATATAGAAATCATAGAGAGACGAAAAGAATGGTTTTTTGCGGTCTGGGATGATTTCACGTGAGAGTTCTGCCATAGTGTCCGTGAGTGTTGCGAGTGTGGAGGAGTTTCGAGAAACGAAGCCCACCACCATCAGCAGCAGCAGCACCACCACTTTAACCACAGTAAGTAAGTGTCTCCAATTTCATGAGCTCCCAAACAGAGCTCTTCCATTTCCACACCCATGGCTACCACTTCACTTTCAAGTTTAGGGTTAGATGAGTAGTTGAAGACTCCACAAGAATGTGATTGTTTTGTCAATGGTAGATCTGAAGATCTTTGTCAACCGTTTTTGAGCTGATTAAAGTAGGTCAGTTAAGTTAACTGTTAACCTTCATATGCATTGAAGTGTTGTTGTTGTTGTTGTTGTTCCACCCACATACATTGGCTGAAACCAAAAACAGTGGCAACAAAGACATCACTTAACATGGAGAGATCCTATGTCTTTGTTTTTGTCTTTGTCTCCTTGCTGTTCCAAGCCGCAACATCACAAGACGATTCACGAGCACTTCTCGCACTCAAATCCTCCATAGACGTTCACCACAAGCTTCCATGGCGACAAGGAAGCGACGTGTGCACGTGGCAAGGTGTCAGAGACTGCTTCAACGGAAGGGTTCGGAAGCTTGTGCTGGAAAACTGCAACCTAACCGGAGCACTGGATTCGAAGATCTTGAACCGCTTGGACCAGCTCCGAGTACTGAGTTTCAAAGGAAACTCTCTCTCCGGCGAAATCCCCAACCTCTCCAAACTAATCAACCTCAAATCGATTTTCCTCAACGGCAACAACTTCTCCGGCGAGTTCCCCGCCTCCGTCGCGCTCCTCCACCGCGTCAAGGTCATCGTCCTGTCGGAGAATCACCTCTCCGGCGAAATCCCGGCGTCTCTGCTGAATCTCCGGCGACTCTACGTCCTCTACTTGCAAGACAACGCGTTTACGGGAACCATCCCTGGTTTCAACCAAACCAGCCTCAGGTACTTGAACGTCTCCAACAACCGACTCTCCGGCGAGATTCCGGTGACCTCCGCATTGATCCGGTTCAACGCGTCGTCGTTTTCAGGCAACCTAGGGCTCTGCGGGGAACAGATCCAAGAAGCATGCAGAAACGGTAACGTTTCGTTGCCGCCGTCGATAAGTCCAAGCTATCCGATGATTCCGTTAACGACGAGGAGAACGTCCAAGTCATCGAAATCGTGGAAGATAATCGGAGGGAGCGTTGGAGGCGTTGTTTTGGTTGCGTTGTGCGTGGTTTTGGCGTGGGCGATTTGCGCGAAGCGGAGGGGGAGAGTGGGTTCGGGAGCGAGGAGCAAGGGCGGCGGTGAGGCGGCGGAGGGAGAGGTTTACGCGGCGGGGAGTGGCGGCGGTGGTGGCGAAGGAGGAGGAGGAGGAGGTGAAGCGGAGGATAAACAAGGGGTTTTTGCTTGGGAGGGTGAGGGTCTAGGGAAGTTGGTGTTCTGCGGAGGAGGGGATCGGGAGATGAGTTATAGTTTGGAGGATTTATTGAAGGCTTCGGCGGAGACATTGGGGAGGGGTATTATGGGAAGTACGTATAAGGCAGTTATGGAGTCAGGGTTCATAGTTACTGTGAAGCGGTTGAAGGATGCTAGGTACCCTGGCTTGGAGGAGTTTAGGACTCACATTCAGGTCCTTGGAAGGCTCACCCACCCTAACTTGGTCCCACTTAGGGCTTATTTCCAGGCTAAGGAGGAACGTCTTCTTGTCTATGATTACTTTCCCAATGGCAGCCTCTTCTCCCTTATTCATGGTACGTTTTTTATTCTCTTTACTTTCATTCTTAGATAAATGTTTCTATGCAGCATGCACTATCTAACTTGTTCAGGAAAATTATATTCAACTAAAAATCTCTATATTTGTGTTCCTGCTTTGGTCGTAACGCCATTCTAACCTAAAGATGCCACTGGGTCTTGTAAAATTGACAAGTGCTCACCGATTCCTGAAGCCACAGTAGATGTAAGACTTGAGAGGTTACTATCGTCGCAATTTCCTTGTGCGTAAAAAAAGTTGAAGATTATAAAAACTTAACTGTTTTGAAAAGAAAAAAAAATCCGTTTGCAGAAATTATTTAGTTTATCAATAAATTTTGTAAAAACCGTTGGATTAACTAAACCACTTTTATATAACAATTTGGTTCGTGTGATTCTTTGAAGAATCGAACCACTTTTATAAAACAGTTTGGTTGACCACTTTATGAAAAATGGTTTCACTAAATGAACCTTTTTTAATAATATGGTCCAGTGCGGTTCAATTTGATTTTTAGACAAACCGAACCGTGAACAAGTCAATTTTGTTTATCTCAATTAATAGAGAAAAATTAGAGAATCTAGGTGTTAGAATTTTATTTTAATCTGGTGCTAATAATTCTCCGCGGGGAATGATAATTATAAAATTCGTACTGTCATCATTTTAAGAATAATGTAATTGTTTGTGACAGATGTTTATATAATTATGTAATAGAAAATAATGATATGTCTGCATAATTAGTTTAGTATAGATTGCAAGTCTAAGTTGGAATTTTGTTCGTGAGAAGGGGGATTTAAATCATATAAGTATTATTATAAGAATGTAGTTTGGTCCTGAAAAGGGAGGCTGAGAGTGACCTAAAAGATGATTATCTTTTGGTAATGGGGGCCTCCAATTATGCCTATGCACTAAGTCTTTCCCTCTCGCCCAGATTTAGTTAAATAAGGACAAAGGGTGCTGCTTTCCCTTTCAAATTGTTTAATGTAATTTCAGACTTTATAAATGTGTGTGCTCTTAAATTGACAACTCATTTATGAGCGTGACCTCCATGTTAGTGTTGTCCCACTCAACCATTGAAAATATAAGAGTGGAATTCGTGCTTAGTGTACTACCATGTACTTGTACAGTGATCTAATCCCAACTTTAACCGATGTCCAATTAAGCCATATATATTCATTGTGTTCCAAGTTTCATAATTCATTCGGAAAGAAATTCTATCATCCTCTCTTCCCCCCCAAAAAAGCCCATGTTTCATCAAAATTGTTTTATTTCAAGAGAAAATGACACGGTTGAATTCTTCTCGATATGGTAACTGAAATCTGGATTTCAATAATAAAAATTTAGTTTACCCGTTGGTCTTGAGCACGACAAATTTGATTTTGTTGGTTTTGGAATTCTCCCTTCAAAAATTAGTAACCAATCACAAGTCCCTTTCTAGAGTGCGTGTTTGGTTTAGTTTTTGGATGTGAAAATTCACGTTTATGGGAAGCAAAAAATTGTAGCTTCACGTAAATTGTCTTGTAAATGTGGAGAGAGAATGAAAAATTACGTTTCTAAATCTAACCCAAACACGCTAAGAATCTCTAATCCTATAATGGGAATTTTTTTCAAAGATGAAGGAAGGATACCGGATAAACAACAGTATTCCCACAACTGTTTAAAATTAATTTTAATAGTTGTCATGTTTCATTATTTTGTAGATATATAAAAGAAAAGTGTTTTCTTCGCTCAGTGATGCAAAAATTTGAGTATTTGTGGGAAAAGTATGAGCATTATTATTCCTAGGGAACAGTCCCCTTGTTCATTTGTGTAAAGCATAAGATAATATGCTTTCTTGCAAAGCATTTAACAAATCAATAAGTCAGCCTTTTTTTTTGGAATCATAATATCCAAGAATAGAAAGAAGTCAATCATTCCAATTACCACTTTGCCATGATCCTCACGTGTATTTCTGCTGGCTTGAAACTATTGTTTTTCTCTTCACACGCACCTTCTTGTTTTATTTTCTATATTAAATCCTCGTAAACTTGTAGTCTTCATGCAATTACCATGTTGTTGTATGACTGACATGTTGATAATATACTGTGATAATACCTGAAAGTAAGGTAAAGGTAAAATCCAAGTGATAATATGTTTGAGTTACCGTGAACAAAGTGAGGCTATGTTTGAGCTTGCCACTGGTAATTTCTTGATGTGATTGAAATTGTTTGTATTTGTTACTGGAGCCTTTTATAAATAAGTACCAGAGTTTTAAACAAACATAGCATTCTAAAGGAACCATATAAGATAAGCTATAGATGAAATGAATTATAATACTTTCATCATTTATAAATGCTAAGAAGTAAACTGAAAATTTCTGCATCTTAACATTGTTCTCAAACTAATAATTGATTACTGTAATGCAGGATCAAAAACATCTGGCGGGGGGAAGCCTCTTCACTGGACATCCTGCCTTAAAATTGCTGAAGATCTAGCAACAGGCCTTCTCTATATCCACCAGAACCCTGGCTTGACACATGGAAACCTGAAATCCTCCAATGTGTTGCTAGGTTCTGACTTTGAGTCATGCCTCACTGATTATGGTCTCACAGTGTTCCTTAACCCTGACACAATGGATGAGCCTAGTGCCACTTCTTTGTTCTATAGAGCACCAGAATGCCGCAACTTTCTAAGGTCACAGACTCAACCAGCTGATGTATACAGTTTTGGGGTCCTTCTGCTTGAGCTTTTAACAGGGAAAACACCCTTCCAAGATCTTGTTCAGACATATGGCTCTGACATACCAAGATGGGTTCGGTCGGTGCGTGAAGAAGAGACTGAGTCAGGGGATGATCCTGCCTCAGGCAATGAAGCATCAGAAGAGAAGCTTCAGGCTCTTCTGAACATTGCAATGGCATGTGTTTCTCTTGTGCCTGAGAACAGGCCTACAATGAGAGATGTTCTAAAGATGATAAGAGATGCAAGAGGGGAGGCTCATGTCTCATCTAATAGTAGTGATCACTCCCCTGGTAGATGGTCAGATACAGTTCAAAGCTTTCCAAGGGAAGAACACCAGAGTATATGATTCATTGGTAACTTTTTGACAGCTTAATTAATAGTTCAAACTATGCATCATTCTGATTTTTCCTGAATTGCTTATTGATTCCATGCATAACTACTAGGTGACACGAAACTCGTGCGGTGAAGACCTACATTTTTAATCTCTTGCTTTGTGAGTAAATGCCATTTAAAGGTAATTAACGGATTCATTTATAGAGTCGTCATAGATTTGGAATTGGATGGCAATCCTTTTAGCTTATGATCGGTTCTTGCTTAAAATTTAGTTTTTTTTAATGTAAAACACGATATTCCAATAAAAACATGAGGTTCAGATTAATTTAGACCTCTATCAAAGTTATATTCAACCATTTGAAATCAATTCTATCACAATTAATTCTACTGACTCTAAACTAGAGGAACACACTGATGCTATGCTACAATGCAACTATGCGGTTTTGGTGCAAGCATAAATATGTCATAGTCATGAGTTGATGGTTGTGACTTGTGAGGTTGTCAATAAATGTGTTTGGAATAAATAAAATCAGCAACTATGCTATTGTTGAACCAATATTTTTATATTTGGATTAACTAGAAAGTTCATCAATTATAACATATTTAAAATGATAAAGTATATGTATAATTAATTAAGAGATTTAAAATATAAATTAAAGTATAAATATTCATACAATAAATTGTATAATTACTTTTTAAAGAATTAAAGTTTAAAATAAAAAGTGCACGTTATTTCTTAAGGAATTTAATTATCGCATAATAAATTCAACCACTCTAAACAAAATTATTATATTAAGGGTGAGGTGGTGAACAAGGGATGTCAAATGTAAGTACCTTTTGATGATGACTACCTCATGCAACTCAGCCAATTGGGTGAGCTTTCTTTGTAATGAGATATTGGCACATCAGAAAGGACGAGGAAGTGAGGAACATTAAACTAGAAACAGTAAATTTTTAAGAAACAGAAAGGAAGGTTCAATTAAGTCCCTGATCTGTTTGATTTTGACAGAATGCGCATAATTTTCAATTTAAAACCCCTCACCCCAAAATAGTTATCGTCTTCTTAATTTAAGTTATTAATTAAGTTGAATTGTACTTTTGATTTATCATATTGAATTTGTGGTGGTGGTCCTTCTATTTTTAATTTTATAATTTTAGTTTTTCAACTTTATTAAATTTGTAATTTTAGTCTCCTAATTGACTGTACATTTGTTTGTAATGTTGATCATAATTTAGTGAACAAGATAATTAATTTTTAATAATATTTATGCTGATTTACAGTTTTAGTTTTCATTTTTATCATACTTTAAAATCATTTTATCACTTTTATGAGATAAAAATGAGAATTAATAATGAAATTTAATTTAAATATTATTAAAAATTAATTATCATGTCATTTATTTGATATTAAATCATGATTAATATTATAATTTTAATAATTAACATATGAATATTCACTCAAGGGATCAACAATGCGGATTTAAAATTAGAGGACCCAAAGATATTATGGAGGATAAAAATATAATTTATCGTATTAATTAATTATGTCATTAATACGTTTTTTATATAAATAAAAATTATAATAACGACTATCCTAAAAATTTAAGTTATCATCAACACGTTTTGATGATAAATTCATGATAAAAAAAATTACATGTTAATTCTTGAGGACACTCGTAAGTTATAGAAAAAAGCATAATCAAACATGTATGCAAGCCTATATTTTAAGTTATTAATTTTTAATTTTGTGAATATGAATGATATTTCTAAAAAAAATTAAAAAATATTTTTTTTATTAATGTCAGAAATATATATATGTATAAAAGTGAAAGCGTAAAGGAAGTAAAAAGGTAAAAAAATAAAAAATTTATTTATAACCGAGAATCAAACTTTCCCACTTTTTTTTAAGAAATAAAAACATGGAATATTTGTTGCTCTTCATTTTCTAAAAATGTTCTAGGTCGAAAACAATTTTTTAAACTTATGAGAAAATATATTCCCATTCTATATAATATATTTTGAAGGATATGATAAGATAAATAAAAACAAGTACACTTATCTTATCACTTAATAATTTTATATTATATATTGGTATAATTTTTATTAATTATTATATTGTTCAATAATTTTTTATTAAATGTAAATTTTTTTAAAATTTATCGTTTGATTGAAAGTTTTTTACTTATAAATCATATATAAAAAATTTATATAGGTAATTTGATATTTCATTCATATATATTAAAATTGATGGAATATATATTTAAAATATACTAAAATAATTTTATATTAGATGTAAATTTTTTAAAATTTATTATTGAATTAAAAGTTTTCTAATTCTATATAATATGTATAAAATTTTATATTAATACAATATAATTTGATATCTCATTAATATAAATTAAAGTTGACTTAATATATATATATATATATATATATATTAAAATATGAATTATATGACTACTTTCAAATTATTATTCAATTTGATCAAAATTTAACATAAACATACAAGATGATATAAAATTATAATTTAATTATTGAATAAAAAAAAACTAAAAATGTAATTGTAAAATCTTATAACTATAGTCTGATAGTTAAATGTAATTGTAAAATCTTATAATTATATTTTAGTGGTTCAATTTTTTTATAGTGAAATGGTTGAATTATCACGTGTTATTCCTTCTTTATAAGTTAATTTTTAATTTAAGAGAGACTTGTTTTCTTTGTTTTCATATTTTTTTCTCCTTAAAATATTTTTGAAAAAGTTATCCAAACAAATTTTTAATTATGTGTTTTAGATGAGGCTAAAACGACCATAATTTAGAGAATAAAAGGAATAATAGATAAAATATTTTTGTAAAAAAATGATATAAAAAGATATAAAATTATCAATTTCAAAAAACACTTTGTTGCTTACCTATGTTGAAGTCAAAGTGTTGACTTAGTACATATGATTCCAATTCCCAATACAAAATTCATGGAGTAAACTATTCATGGAGTAAACTAAAGAATATTAAACTTTAAACTTTGAAGTGTGCTAAACTATTCATGTGGTTCTCTCGTCAACCTTGTATTCTGGCATTCTGCATACGAAATTTATTATATTTATCGTAAGAATTTGATTTATTTACATTAATTATTATATTTTAAATTCAATTATTGATAACTTTTTTAATAATCAATGTTAAAAACATGTATTATATACGTAACATTTTTTTTAAAAAAAATCAAATAAATATTATATTTGAATGTCAGTTATTCGTAATTAAAAAAAGAACACTCTATATCTCCGTAAAAAATTATTAATATTTTATAAAATGAATAATTATTATTTTTAAAGAGATTAGTTATTTTCTACATATATATTCCTATTTTATTCTTAAATATGAATTAGTAAAAAAAAAAAAACAATCAAAACTATAATTGTCTTTTAAAAAAGTAAATATAAAAAATAATATATCTTTATATATTGTTATATAGATAATTTCCTTAGCATACACTTAAAAAAAAATATTCGTCATAAAATCTTATAACGGATACTGCAAGTAAAATCTCACGTGACTCTTAAATAATTATGTAACTTTAAAAAGAAAATTCACATACTTATTATGTTTTAACTTTTAATCTTAAGTTGATAAAAAAGACTTTTAATCTTAATTATTCATAACTAATTTCTAATCTATACCATACAATAACATGATACATGTATCACTCTTTCTCTACAACTACAATAAACCAAAACGAATACCATGGCTTAAGCTAAAAAAGTTGAAAAGCAAATGCATGAGAAGATAAACAAGTTATTGTAGTAGAACAAAACTGAAGGTTGATCAGAGCGAGAAGGTAGCAAGGTGATGCCAAATTGAATGGTTGTGGCAAGTGTGAAGGAGAATAGTGGTTAGGTTAGGTTGGTGTGTGTGCACAGATATTGATGCTGTGTTGCTGTTGCTGTCACGTTACATTAAAAAGGTTCCCAGATGTTAGGGTCCCAGTGACTTTGGAGTAATCGATTAACCATTAAACATACCCTATTAGAGTCTGACATTTCTGAGTGTCAACGTTCTTTCCTCCAACATTTTCTTTTTAATTCAAATCAAATGTTAATAACAGGTTAGTGCTTCATTAGAATCTACAGCTTCGGATAAATGTGATGACTTGTCGTAAACATAGAGAGCTTGACACAGATCTCATTATTTTCTTCCTTAAAAAATATATGTAACCTCACAAATTGTTGCGGAATTCTTCCCATCGATCTCTCCTGTTAGGACACTTTATATTTTATATATTAGTGGCAGTACAAGAGAATATCAATCAGGCAAATAATATTAACAATATACTTTAAATTTTTAGACAGAAGAATGAGAAGATCAGAGAAAATGATTAAAAGAAATATTTATTTTATTTAATTTAGTTTGACTTGATCCTTTATATAATTCTTCATTTATAGAGGGTGAAATTTATTATTAATAAAACATATTTCATTACACTTATTTAATTTACATGATTCTTGTTTAATTTATAAGATATTTACCTAATTTTATGTATGATCACAACATCTTATTATAATTTATACGATACTTATCAATTTGAAGGATTCTTTTTTCGACTTTTGGAATTTTTAATGTTGGAGGAGTTTGAATTGTCTTTTTTAACTTTAGGATAACTCGAGTTTGTTCTAATTCTCACGAAGGATGATTCTTCTATAAGAACTTTGACAATTAATTGATATATATTTAACTATAATTAAACATCTATGTATAACTTTTTTATTATCAGAAATTCAGTCGGAACATAATAAAATGGCTATATTTCTCAACCATAATTATGAATCAAATTCATTATATCCTTAAATAAATGACACAATATGACATTTTATTTAAAAATATTTGTTATAGATATAAAATAATAAATAGTACATAAAAAAAACTCATTAATTAGAATGAAAATAAGTTATTAAGAAGATATAAAAATATCAAAAAAATCAGTAAAAAATAAAAATTAGAAAAATAAAGAATAATAAATTTAAAGAGAACAGAAAATAAACGTATAACTTAATATACGTAAATGTATTATCCTTTTAAGTCAGGAAATACACCCCTAATCTATACATAGATCTCCAAATATCAAAAGTTTTTCTTTTTCTATAATCAGTGAAAAGGAGTATATTACATACTATCACTATAAAAACAGTCTCCGTAAAAAATACAAGTTGTTTTTGTCAAAATTTATTTTCTATTTGTATTTTTTAATTAAGATTTGTGTTTTTGAAAATAATACGAGGCCAGAATTTCAAGTCATGCATTCCTTGTTAGTACGTAATTGGGTTGCTGACAATAGCAAAGCAGAGGTAAAAATCAGTGAGATTCAGAAGTTTTTGTTTCATGTGCTTTTGGTCTATTTTTGGGAGGACGAAGAAAGTGATAATATTTACTTTTAAGGTTAATTATGTAAAAAGATTTTTAATTATCTTTTATTTAGGAAATATATTATCAAGTTTTAGAGAATTTTTTTTTGTTACTATTGAGCGATGAAAAAAATGATATTTTTATCATATGTAACTTCTATTTTTATTTAAATTACTTTGAATTTTAATTTTTTAAAAGTATTAAAATATAACAAACACATTTTTTTTATCTAATTCACCGAAATAAGTATAAATATGACCCAATGTAAATGATTTGAAAGAGTTTAAAATTTGAAATTAGACTCAATGTTTTTTTTTATTTAATTTTTTTTATATGAGTTTGGATTATATTTTGATTCATCTTTATCCAGTTGAATATTTACTCAGCAAAAAAAAAATCCAATTGAATATTTAATTTAATATTTTCTTGAAAGTTATAATTTTTTAATTATTGTGTTAAAATTATTATAGTGTTACAAAGTCAAATTAATTTGACTTTGTTACGAATATTAAGTTTTAGTTAAATTAAGTTTCATTTAAAAAAATGATTCAGTGAAAATTTCAGGTCAGAACATTAACAAAATATAAACTTACTTAATTCAACACATACTTATTCATATTTTTAAAAAAATACAAAATGATAGTTTTGAAACAACCATCTCCTCACGATTTTAATTTAATGAACAACTTTGTAAAGAAAAAGGTTAATGATCAATGACATGTGTACAACACTTTTATTAAAAAATGTTAAAATTAACACGCTACAAACTTGCTCTCAAGCCCAAAACATGGTGTGTTGTGAATTTTCCTAATAAAGCATTTTAACAAAGTGAGATTGCCACTAGCTAGTCACTAGCAAGGGATGAGAATATATTATGGAGGCTTCTAACTTTTTTTTTTAAAGAAAAAAAACTCTGTTTTTCTATTTGTCTCAAATAAAACATTTTAAACTCAGTTTCTCTTGAATAAAGTATTGGTTCTTTTTGTTGTTTGGAAATTCCTTAGTAGGATTTTCAAACTATTCGACGAAGTGCACATGCATTTAGCCCAACATGGGAGTGGGAGGACCCTGTATTGATAACGATCATTAGTGCTTTGACAATTCTCAACAGAGAACACATAAGTTAGAGTTTGGGTAGGATATTAATATTTGCTTTATATTTGTATTTTTTATAAAATATCTCTATTTAAACTCACACCCTTATATAAAGCATTCTTATCTATTAGATACTTAAACAACTATCTCAGAAAAATCTGTTCACGTATTTTAGTTGACTTAAACAAAGGTAAATATAATATTTTATCATATATTTAATAAGCTAAAAACCTATTGTTAATGGTAAAGCCGATTATATGATTAAAAATAAATAAATAAATAACTATCATCCAACATTTAAGTAGAGTTTTTTTTTTTTCGTTCCTAGAATATTTACCGCTGATAGTAGTGACTAATTTCCTCATTAGGAGGGACACACCTCAAAAGCTAGAATAACTAGCTTCAAGATTTAACGAGACTGCATATACAAGACAGGATTCGAATCTCTGATCTTGCTTAAACATGCATCAATATCGCTGAATCACACGCTTGAGATTAAAATAAATAAATAAAATTATTAATAATATTTGAGTATAAACTTGAATATAAAATCTCTAGTATGAATATTATTTAAATGCCAATATTAATGATGAAAAATCATTAAAATCAGTCATACATAAACTCCCTACTTGTTATATAGTTAATGAATTAAATGAGTCATTTAATAAAATAGTGTATTAAATTTGAATGGGATGTTGTCTTGACATAGGATGGTATGTACTTAATGGGTGTGCTTTTAAATAAAATAACATTCATACTTTGCATAAGAAAACAAATGATAAAAGATAAATTAGCAGAAAAACTAAGCAGAAAGGAGAGGTGGAGTCCACAATGATCAGCATCAAATGCTTATTGGGATTCGCACTGTTGCTGAATTCCAAGATCCACAACCATCCATTATTATCTCTCTTTCTTTTTAAATTTTAAAAAATAAAATAAAACTAGATTTTCCTTTTTTCCCTTTCTCTGCTTCCCTGTTGGCGGAGCTCTAAGCCATCTCTTGTCTCTCTCGAAGAGAGAGAGTGTGTGTTTTGGTGTCACAACGCAAACCCAGAAAGAAAGTACCAAATGCCAAATGGTAGTGCAGTAATAATACCATTGTAGCTTAGTCAGAGAAAGAGAGAGAAAAATAAAAAGGCACTACCGTCACCACAACCAACTAGGCCTCGGTCGGAAAGTTGCTACAAAAAAGGTAACACTCTCTCTCTCTATCCACTCCCTGTTCTTCTGTTACGACACGTTTGATTTGCTGTTGTTAGGGCTTTTATCGTTTTCCTTTGCTCTATAATTGACTCTCTTCAACATCAAGTTTCTTCTCTTTTTTAGTTCTAGACACTGACCTGGGTTTTTTTTTTTTTTTTTTTTTTTTTTTGGGGTTTTTTTTTCGGGTTTCCCCTTTTGGGTC